ACAAAACTTAACTTTGCAACAGAGCTGAAGTACCTAAATCTCACCTTTGATAGCAAGTTAACATAAAACTCACACTTAGAAAACAGGTGCACCTGGAGTTTCTCCTCCAGAGTCGTCCCATGGACTTACACGGTTGTATGGGTACCGAAAATCCAAAAATTGACAGCTATCAACAAACTAGAACAAATTAAAAGAACATCGTGTCTCAAAAGAACAGAAGCCATGAAAACCACACCGACCAGAGTCATGGAAGTCATTCTTAGTCTCAGTTCCCTTAATATTTACATCAAGCAGGTATGGATTTTTCCCTCGACCGGTGGTACTGAAAGAAGAGAATTTTGGTTCACCTGTCTACAGTGATTTTTAGTACTACCCACCCTGGCAGGATAGTCACTAGTCATGCGTTCTCTATTCTTTTACTTGTTGATATTTCCACCGTTATGCCTGGCACCAGTAATGATAAAAAATTAATGGTGTTAAAAATGTTGATTTAGTTGAAATATAAATAAACAATATGTTCAAATTTGATTAAAAATATCGAAAAATCAAAATAAAGAAATATTATTTAAATAGCCAACAAAAAATTAAATTTTTGATTGAAACAAGACCTTATTCAAGAAAGGTATATTTCTCATTAGCTCCAGAGTCACTGTTAAATGCTAAGAACGGTTCTTACTCACTGCACTGTCAGTGAAACTAAATTGCAAACATATCTCGTATATATTAATTTTACCTGTTTGGATTTTAATTGCGGTTATTTAATCGTATATCAAAGTTATTTAACTCTTCTCAAGTTCCGGAAATTCTCAACGTAACCATAACGATTAAAGAACGTTATTGTTATCCTCTTAGAATCAGAATCTAATTTCAACTTGCTCTTGCAATTTTCATAAATCCATCTGAGGCTACCCGAATCTTTTTTGATGCTTTATCATTACCGACTCTATCTCTAGTCATGAACAAACCATGGCAACACCGCAGCTAGTAAAAGCATCCAGTGTATGCGCTACGAAGTGAGGTGAACTCGGCTCGCTTTGCACTACTGTTTATTTAAATGTATTAATTTCTCACCTTTTATTTTTGTATTTTGCTTTATTCGTGGAAAAAATGGCTGTTTTTTATTTTTAACAAATGTATTTAAAAATACGTTAGAAAAATAGAGCACAACATATTTTTATATTCTTTACCACAAATACACTGTAAAAGTAATCAACCACCTTGTAATGGGTCAACAACAAGCCACCAGACACTTTTTAACACTTACTTTAATTAAATGATTAAAAATCGGGTTAAAACACCACGGGAAAATATCTAATGCCGCCATTATGTGAGAACAATAGGTGTAATACCAAAAATCACTTTATTACAGAGTACATCTCAAGAAAAATTAACAAACTGTCGGCTCTATATTAATACACACTTTTAACAACTAATTAAAGAAAAACCTGTTTTAATTTCACTTAATCTGAAAAAAAATTCGTAGGCGAAACGTGAGTTCAATATGCCGCATTGCCAGATTTATCTTTGCTGGGCTAGAAGTCGGTAATGGCTGTATAAAGAAGTAGTGGAGTCTAAGGCGTCATTAGTCAGAACCGTTTTTCTCTATGGCGAACAAAACTTATTACACGCTATCAGAGAGCGCAACTACTAATATTTAAAAATTACTCCGTTTTCAAAGAATTATTAATAATTGTAACCAAAAAATTTGTATCTCTAACTCGAAAATGGCTTAAAATATAATAGGACAGATTGAATTTTTGATATCTAAGCAGTATTTTCTATTGCTTGTCTAGAAAGAAAGCAGAATCCAAAAAAGTGGCTGTAATAAAGTTCTACGAAAGTTTATCCACAAATCTACAGCCTTATATACAGGGTATACCATACCAGGTCAACGCTTTGATACATTATTAGAATTTATTATAGGACATTTATGATAGAAGCAAGAAAGAAAGAAATTTATTAAATATTACCCTCATATTTGAAAAGAATGACTTGCCCCATGTCCTTCGTTCTTGCTTCGATCATAAGTGTTCTATAATAAATTCTAAAAATGTATGAAAGCTGAAAGCGTTTGACCTGGTACAGAATGTTTGTTTATTACTGGTTCATTATTTTACCTGCACGCTATTCTAAACTATGAATAATGTAGAGATTATTTTTAAAACCGGCAAACAAAAATTGTGATTGAATGAGTTAAATGAACCAAAATTATAAAAAAGTGCTTTCTTTATATGTCATTGCTGTTACAATGTTTAGTTTAATAAATGGGATATTTAGATTTCTTTTAGACATTATAATATTTTTTAAATCCAACAATTTGGACTGAATAGAATATAAGAACGTAAAAATATATTAAGTGTTCTATCTGATATGATTAATATAATTAATATGATACATTATTAAGGACCTGATTTCTCGATGTACAATAGTAGTTAAGCAGCACCGATTCTAGCCCAAAATCGATCATTTTTACATGTAAATCTCCATAAGAAAATTTAAGGTCCAAAGTGGTAATTTTTGATACCAAAATTTCAGTGCCGTACTAGAACAATTTACCCCTTATTAAAATTTATTTCATTTTAAAATATCAGGAGAGCACTAGAAAAATAACCCTCTCTTTCTACTTTATTTTTATATTTAATTTATTAGGATTTAAAAATCAGATATTTGTTTTAAATCTTTTATTTTTTCTCACACATAATTAAGCAGTTCAATTTAAATCCAGTTGGAACGTCTGGTAAGCTGTAGTGTCCCCATGGTAAAGTATTGTAAGATTCAGGTACCAAATAGCGTTTATCATCGTTGAGGCTAAGGGCGATTTTCTGCTGAGTCATTGAATAAACTTGATATTTATCTGAACGAATTAAATTCTGCGAAACAATCTTATTTGTAAATGTCTCCAAACAGTTTACATAATCTTTAAAAGTTATTATAGTATTCACTATAGATTTTTTTACGCCCTTTGCTTTCTTAATTAATCCAACATTTTACAAAATATCTTCAGTTTCATCAGAGTCATATTCTTCTTCTGTTTTACAATAGCATCTTCAGTTTTAACAATTTTTACAGTATATAATTTCAAACGAAGTTCAATAAAATCAGTCACTTTGTGTGGATTAAAAGCCTTTCAAAACTACTTTCCAAAAATTGAGTAATGAAGGACATGTAAAATACTTTAGCGATTGCTGTTTTCATTATTTCCGTTCCGAGGCAAAATTAAACATGCATATAGAAGATTGTAAAAAATTAAATCATGGTGCTACCAAAATGCCCGAAGGTGATAAATCTAAGGTAGAATTTAAAATTTTTAAAAATAAAGAAAGAGTCCCTTTCATCGTATACGCTGATTTGGAAAGTGTATTGAATCCAATGGAAAATAAAAATATTTATCAACAACATGTTCCAGCTGCTGTGGGCTACTACCTCAAATGTTTTTATGATGACACTATTTCCTTTTATCGATCATCTGTATGATCGATAACCACTGCATACAATCTATATTGTATGCAGGATTTACCCTTTTTACCTGAACACCTTAATCCTGAAACTTTGAGATCATGTACAAAGAAATCTAAATTAATGGCAACATTACAAAACAAAGAAAATTACGTGATCCACTATAGAAATTTAAAACAGGCGATAAAATATGAATTAAAGATAACAAAAGTTTATAGAGTTTTAAAATTTAACCAGTCCCCTTATATTGATTTTAATAGTAAAAATAGAAAAAAATCGAAAAATGAATTTGAGAAGAACTTATATAAACTTATGAACAACGACGTATTTGGAAAAAGTATTGAAAGTGTGAGAAAATATCTTAATGTGAAGTTAATTCAGTAATGGCAGGGGCGTTATAGTGCCGAAGCAATGATATCAAAACCTGAATTTAAATTATGTACAATATTCAATGAAAATTTAGTAGCCATAGAATTACAAAAACTAGAGATATTTTTAAACAAACCTATTTATATTGGAATGAGCATTTTGGATTTGGCTAAGACAACTCTTTATGACTTCCATTATGGCTATATGAAAAGTGAATTTGGAAATAATCGTTCCATTTTATACACGGATACAGATGGTCTAATCTATGAAATTCGAGATCGTGATCCATATGAAATTATAAAACATGAGTGTATGCAATATTTTGATAGTTCAGACTATTAACTAAAAAACGTTTACGGAATTCCTCAAGTTAATAAAAAAGTACTAGGCATGATGAAAGATGAGAACAATGGTATACCAATGACTGATTTTATTGGACTTGGTTCGAAATTATATGCTGTAAAAATTGTTAAAACTGAAGATGCTATTGTAAGGGAGACAGTACGTCTTAAAACAGAAGAAGAATATGACTGATGAAATTGAAGATATTTTGTTAAATGTTGGATTAATTAAGAAAGCAAAGGGCGTAAAAAATCTATAGTTAATACTATAATAACTTTTAAAGATTATGTAAACTGTTTGGAGACATTTACAAATAAGATTGTTTCGCAGAATTTAATTCGTTCAGATAAATATCAAGTTTATTCAATGACTCAGCAGAAAATCGCCCTTAGCCTCAACGATGATAAACGCTATTTGGTACCTGAATCTTACAATACTTTACCAAGGGGACACTACAGCTTAGCAGACGTTCCAACTGAATTTAATTAAATACTTTGTATTAACATGTTATTATGTAAAATTAAATTACTTAATTATGTATGAGAAAAAATAAAAGATTTAACTAATATGTGATTTTTAAATCCCAAATATAAAAATAAAGTAGAAAGAGAGGGGTATTTTTATAGTGCTCTCCTGATATTTTAAAATTAAATAAATTTTAATAAGGGGTAAATTGTTCTAGTACGGCACTGAAATTTTGGTATCAAAAATTACCACGTTGGACCTTAGATTTTCTTATGGAGATTTACATGTAAAAATGATCGATTTTGCGCTAGAATCGGTACTGCTTAACTACTTACAATATATCAGAGGATAATAATATGTTTACTCACATTGGACAACTAGCTTTATCCTTTTGCTAACTGATGGAGGAATTCCATTCGTGGCGATGCAAAGGTATGGTCCCATATGGTCTCTTTTTACATTGGTAATATTCAGTATTGGTCCAGTTGTGCTGGGAACTGAAACGAATAAAAATAAAGATAAGTACAATGAAAAACTACATTAAATTTAAAATAATAATATCGTTGGATAAAGTGCAGAAAGTTGTAAGCAGGCCTTCTAACTAAACTATATTTTTAACATCAGAAGCTTCGTCACAAGTTCTATTAATACATGGATCAGAGAAAATTGCAGTTGCTAATAAAGCTGAACAGAAATAGAACCGTGATGGTATCAGGACTTTGTCAATGCATGTGCAAGTTCTATTTTTAAGTTATTTACCGACCAGTTTAAGACAGACGCATTTAATGAGAATAATCCATAAATAAAACGTGTCATAAAGTTGAATACAACTCTATCTACAATAAAAGATAGAAACATGGATTTTAAATTAGTATTAAAATTGGAAAATAATCTATACAAAATTGTACCTTTATAATAATACCCAAAGGGTGTCAGGGTTAGTAGAAGTATAACGTTAGATTAAATAAAGTTATTAAAGGTTATCAAACATAAAATTGAAAATTGATTTCAACAATAAGAGCCATTATAAAGTTCCCTATTCTTGTATTAACAAGTAGCGGTTATTTTATTAAATACAGTTCATAATTTTATCACACAGCAATAACTTAGAAATTGGTATGGAAATAGTAGAGGACCAACATCTATGAGTAAAATAGTAATACAAAAATTCATAAATATTTTTTTTCCTGTTCCTTAAAAGATTTGAGACATTGTTTTATCACTTTCATGCTCACATTTTGTTTTATATTGGTTTTAACTTAGTATTAAAATTTATTTTTACCTGTCTGATCAAAAAGTTATTGTTAATATTAGTAGGTATTACTATTGTTTACAATACAGAATAGGTACCTACTATATGTCTAATGAAGGTTTAAACTTTAACCAACAATAGTCAACTAAATATAAATATATGTTAGCAGGTAAACAAATTTTGTGTGATTACTCATTGTAATATAATGTAAAGAACATTGGCAGTCAAGAGTGGGGGTGCGGGAAGTGATGGCAGTAATAGCGAACCGTCGACTGCAGGCACTCCCAGGCAGAACGAAATGATGGGTCGCCTTGAGTGCTATAGTGAAATCAAGCTGTTAGTTGATGCTCAGGCATTGTTCTATTTGACTTAATTATTGAAAATTGTTATTATATACAAATGATACAATATTATACCTTCAGATCCATTCTGAAATCTTATTTTTTCTCCATCTTCTCTTTTCCACATGATGGATGGTTCTGGTGAGCCCTTGGCGACACATTGAAGGCTTACATTTGAACCTTCATCTACCACCATGTCTGTACTCGTTGGATAGTCTAGAATGTCTGGCGGAACTGAAACAAGATCAAATAGTTAAATAAAAAAATTAGAATGCTTTTAGTATTTCGATATTATTACATGTATATATTCATAAGACAATATTTATTAGATTAGATGACTGCAGTAATACCAACAACTGAAATATTACGATTTGAAGGTCTGATTAAACACTAGTTGAATTGGTGTCCATATTTTTTAGAGATTACTTGTCGTACTTTATTTTCTATCATATCATGACGATATATATTCATTTACTTCTTTTTCTTATTTAGTTTGAAGATAAACTATTACAAGTATAAAATTGTTTTTATCATCCTTATTATGGTTAAATCACGTTGTTATTTTTTAATTGTATAACTTTGAATTCCTACGCCTATGAGTTTTCAATTGTATAGTGACAGCTAAGTTTATAATAAAGTTGGTATTTTTTTTAAGTTCAATGTTGTCATATATTTATTGTGACTTGTAATTGGAATTTGTGGATATTTTGAGTTATTTATTATTTTTGGTTATTTTGTTATTATTTTTGGTCGTTTCGTTATTATTTTTGGTTATTTGGTCATTATTTTTAGTTATAAAAAATTGTTATTTTAAGAACAACCATATTGTCTTCCTCGCAGGTTTAAAAATGCCAAAGAAATTAATCCGATTTAGGAGCTCATTGATACAGAATTTTGAACAAAAACGCGATAACAATAGTCCTTTACTACCTTTAACTGCTGTTAGACAAGTAACTTTTTACTGATATTGTCTAGAAACATCAAACTAATTTCATTTTTTAGCGTGTATCGGCAGTACTTAACTTAAATTTGTCCACTGTAAGGGCTATTTCGCAAGCAGCTAAAAACGTCGTTTTGAAATCGCCTCCAAAAAAGCGTCTTCGTACAAAGAAAGTAACTCTAAATACAAGTACAATTCGATATATTATTTACAACATGTATGAAGCTAGAAGTGTAGATTATTCACTTTATATCATCTAATTATAAATAATACCTATATATTTGTTTGCAGACGAATACGTAACTTTGGATTCTTATTAGAAAAATTGAAAGAAAAGAGAATTGTTTAATGGATGCCGCATGTCACTATGCACCTTATCATAAGATATTGGTTTTAAATGGAAAAAAAGATGATCCAAGGCGAGGGCTCATGGAACTTTCCGATGTTGCTGTATTTTTAAGAAATTCTGTGGATTTTGTGAGACATATTATAACTCCAAACACATGATATACACATGATATAATATTTTAACAAGATTATACCAAATAAAAATTTAATAAAGTGTGCCACAATTAAATACAGGGTGGTCCATTTAAAATTGATCAATTTTGAAGTTATGGATCACTCTGTATAATCGAAAATAATTTTGAAATGTGCAGATTAATAGTATCTACAACTTTTGTAAATAACATTGTTTGATATTTTCTATAATATATGATATATCGAAATTCAACACTATTGGGACACCCTGTATATAAAATTATATATTATTTTTTTGGAATAATATGTTTTACTATATTTAAATATATTAAATAATATTTTTCCTTTTCATATTAATTTTAGTCTATGTGAAATTATTCATTTAATAGTTAAAGCATTTTATCTAAATCCTTTTCAAATTTCCTTTCATCTATCATAACATTTTAAACCTTTTTAGCCGATGATACAATAAGAATCATTTATCTTAAAGATCGTTCAGGTTAAAAAAAAATAAGAATCATTTATCTTGAAGATCATTCACGGTGCAGTCTCGAATGAGAGTTATGATATAGAATTCCGAATCACTTGGTGGAAGTTGCCTGACTGGTATATAATGTTTGGAGATTGATGTACCTCTGTAGTTAGAGACGAAGGAAGAAATACCTGATTTTACCTTTAACTTACCGTATATTACCTTATTTACCTACAGATAAGTGCAATTGATTTAATCAATAAATTGTTTTAAATTTGAATTATGTGCAAACTTATGTGAATTAGAATTTGATAGCTACCTTATCTAAAGCATTTTTTAAGAATAATTGGTTAGTGGTTAGTGATTTTCTATATTTTTCATCACTAATGCAGAGTGTATAGGTGTATAAGCTTTAAATATAGTGGTGCCCAACTTCTTTTTTCAAAGTTATTCGAGTTATTTAAAAACCTAACCCACAACCTATAAATTGAGCTCAAACACATATATTAAAGTAGATAAAATAACCAACTATTAATGTTACAAGTTATTAGGGGTTATTATTGCAAACATGTTTTTAGACTCACGTTATTGACGAATTGATAAAATAGTCCAGAACATAAAATCTATTTTTCATTGATAAATAAATAAATAAAGGAGATATTAACGTGGCCCTAGTCTCATTGTCACCTGCTTTTACCATGTCAAAAAATATTATCGAAAATAAATTTGTAAAATCGTAAAAGAGGTAAAGCAAGACAAAGAACGAGTATCAGAAAATACAATCAGTGCACTTAGGATAAATAAATCACTGACCAGATAGAATATTCGACAGAAAAACACATTAATCTATTTTGAAAAGATGAAATGTATAGGTATATTTATTCATGGAATCGTTAATTTTTATTTGATTACATATTATTATAGTCCATTAAGCGATAATGAAATCTATCAAAATTATATGTTAATTTTCCTGAATAATAAAGCTTAAATTGAGCCTACTCACGTAGCCAATTAAAATTAATAGTTTTAAATTCGGTAGGTACTCTAACTCAAAGTGGATAGCAAACCTTTTGTAATAAAATATTTTAATTTAAAAGATAAATAAATGAATATTTATCTGTACACTCTAATTGTATAATTGCGAATTCAATGGCGTACAAATATAATGTTCAATAACATATATTTATCCAAGACACGTATTTCACCAGTTTAAGTAATTTAAACAGTCTACATACCTAAAACTTTAGAGATAGACTTTCATTTGTATATCATTGAAATACCATTTAAAATAGATACCACTTGAGAGATATCATTTAGCTAAACTTGACGAGGTTATTATTCTCTATAAATCAATGCATAATTGAGACGACTGACTGTCAATATTTGCTAGAAATATAAAAACTTTATTCTTTGTTCCTGGAATATTATTCTGACTAATTCAAACCATTTATTTGTCAACTACAGACGCTAATTTATGTAAAATTCAGCATGTGCAGGGATTTAGTAGAAATGACGATTATTGAACAGCTAGTGACATTTTCAGTCCATCATTATTAAGGAATAATAAATACGTCATGTTCTGTATCGTACCTATATTGTAGTTATTAGTAACATTGTCACAGAGTACACAGTTTTAGCTGTTTTTGGTTTTAGAAACACTTTAGAATCTCATAAAATTATATAAAAGAAAAGAAAATTCAGTAAATGAAAAAAAGATAAAATAAAATCAAAACTACTGAAGAAGGACGTCCAATTTGGAGCCGAAAGCTTTTTATTATAGACAATAAAATTTTACTACTTGAATTTTAAACTTGAAGGCTAACACAGCTTCTAAACACAAAACTGAACTTTGCAATAGAGGCGAAGTACGTAGGTCTCTATACCAACCAGAGCCATGGAAGTCATTCTAATGGAGGCCCTTCGATATGGCCTGCAGGCCAAAACTCACAGTTCTGATCTAAAAGCAAGATTTAATCAGCTCATTTCACTCTTCATATTAGACAAAAGAGGACAGGCCAGATGTGAGTCAGATCGAGCACTACACGTTATGGACTGAATCGATGGACTGTACAGTTCAAATCTCACAAAATCATAGCGTGTAGGGCCCTTGTCTCACCTCTCTTGATATTTACATAAGCGAGGCTGTTCTGATCACAATAACACCAGCCAGGCCTTCACATTGGCGCAGGACGTGGAATGATGTTTTCTCTTCTTCTTCACAGAACCTGCACAAAGTTATTTCTTCTGCTAGATTGATGACACTCATGTGCCTTTTAAGGCGACAATGTCCGATTTGACGCTTTTGATCCAGTAGGTCTTTTGCGAACTTGGATGATGGTTGCTTGATGAACTTTTTGGCCTGTCTCAGTCTTTGATAGTTGTTGCACCATTCCTAAGACTCTTTTTGCTTTTTGCATCCATTGTTTGATGGATGCCTTGCACAAGGCCTTAAAAATTCTACAGAAGGATGGGGCCTGTCATGACCTTATCTGAGCCTTCTCGGACTAATTCATCGGGCTAGGGTCACCTTGTTTTGACTACTCTGCCAGGTCTTCTAGACAGTCTTTCACCAGTCGTGATTGATTTCTGGTGAGAGAATTGCCTTTAGAGCTGCTTGGCTATCACAGTATTTGGCAATAGTTTGCCTGATACTTGCTGATTTTGTATTTATTTTGCACAGTGTTGTATGGCTATTAGTTTAGCCTGGAACACTGTTGCATATTTTCCTAAACTCAGCGAAATCGTTGTTTTCGACTTTGGTCCATAGATTCCAGCACAGACTCCTTCCTTGGTTTTTGAACCGTCTGTGTACCAGACCATTTCAGTCTGTACAGGAGGTTCCTGTTTCCAGGATTCTCGGGCTGGTATTTGAATTTGAAATTTTTTTCAAATTTGTATGTGGTTATGGTTCTATCAGTAGGCATAGCTAGAATATTATCCCTTTTGACTTGCTGATATAGCCTTGTGTGGTCGGCGCTATGTAGTTGGCTTATAGGGTTTTGTCCCTGCATTAGTCTGTGAATAGCTGACCTGGTTTCTCCTGGTATGAAGATGTGCAGTGGCGTAAGATTTAATAATACCTCCATTGCTGCAGTTGGCGCAGTGCGCATGGCCCCAGTAGCACTTAGACAGGAGATCCGCTAAATGACAGTGAGTTGGCCTATTGCACTTGCCTGCTCAGTTTTGGTTACCCACGCCACCCCGCCATAGGTTATCATGGGTCCCTTGTGTATAACCATATGGTCATTTTGGGGTTTAGACCCCAGTTTTTGCCACATATTCTTCTACAGCTTACGAGAGCTATTGTAGCTTTGTGTGTGAGCTTTTTGAGATATTGATTTC